TACTATTCAAACATTACCTCTGATGAATTATCTTTTTAAAGCAATCAGCAAATTAACTAATTGTTTCATTAAGGACACTCTCTTTCATTTTTTAATAAAGAAGCTATCAATTTTAGACATGTTGCAGAATTTAACATAATCTGTCATTTCGCTTCTGTGTGCACTTTATTCATCTATAAATTTCCCTGGATGCACTTCATAATAATGTGGTTTCACCAGGCAAAGGACATGTTTACAATACCACGGGCAGAGATTGGGGTGAAAAAAATGCTCTAGAATGTAACCACAGGATGGCCACCAGTAAAGCACCTTCCGACGTTTTTCTCTATGAAAATTCCTGCCACCAACATTTCACAAGCCTATGTAAAGGACATGGAAATTCCTGGAGAAAACACCACTCGGATCAAGGGGATTTTACTGCGCCTACACGGTAGTTCCATGGCTTGATCTCTTTCTGGACCCAATGTCCTGTGTTCAATGAACTTAGACCAGAAATACCCAAAACTACAAAGCAGCATTTCTTTACAAATAGCTATTTTAGTAAGTAATAGTAGAGATCTTTATAGAACTTAACTACAAAAACGGAAAACTGTTAATAAGGGACAGATGCTTTTATACTAGGCACATTAATAAATCATGAGCAATGAAGTTATATGGAAATTACAATTAGTGTTATGGGAGGCTTAGAGAACATCAGATTGCACTGCTCTTAATCACTTGCCTTTTCTGTACAGGATAGAGCGAGTACAAAACATCCATTGAATGAAAAGTTAAAACGAGATCCCATCTGCCAATTCAGATGGATATTAAAGTTCCCATGGCACTATTTGAAAAAATAATAATAATACTTCTTGCATTTAATTTAGATGTTGTCACGTCATCGAGACATCTCAAAGATCTTCAAGAGAAGGGAGTTTCACCTTAATCCCAGGCCACTGATCCCCCGGTTTGTAGAATATTGTTGTGCGCAAATTAATTGTTTCATTCACCTACAAATATAAAGTCACTATACTTTAGAAAAAAAACTTTGTGAAGCACTTTGAAATATTTTCATATTAAAGGTGCTATAACATGCCTGTTTACCAAGCAGTAAGTAGGAATTCGGTTGTTAGTTGATTGACAGATCACTTTTCTGGGGGTAATAATTCCTCCACAATAAATGTTAAAAATAATTTGGTCACTCAATCTACGACTGTTTGTGGGATACTTTATCTGTGACCAGAGCGCCATCTGCCTCCTTGTCCTCCTGGACCTCTCCACAGTTTTTGACACAGTTGATCATACCATCCTCCTCCAACTCCTTTCCTCCGTCATCCACCTCAGAGGGACCACACTTGCCTGGTTCGAGTCCTACTTCACGAATCTTCAGCAGTACAGCTCCACAAATGGCTTTTCCTCCCGCTCTCATCTGTGGGGTACCTCAAGGATCCATCCTTGGCCCCTCCTCTTTCTGAACTACATGCTCCCTCTTGGCGATGTCATACGCAGACATGGGGTAGCACTTCCACGTGTACACGGACGACATCCAACTCTATTTTTACACATCACTTTGTGACTCCCAGTCCCCTGATGTTCTGTCAGCCTGCCTGTCAGATATCAGGAGCTTAATGAACGCAAATTTCCTTCAGCTAAATGTTGACAAGACGGAAGCCATATTCCTTGGCACTTGTCAATGTCTTAAATCACACGGTTTTCACCTCCTCCGCCTATCTGACCTCACCCTAAAACTCTCCGACCCGTAAGCAATCTAGACGTCAGGTTCGACCCCCGATTATCCTTCCTCCCCCACATCCAGTCCCTCACCAGCACCGCCTTCTTCCACCTCCGACGTATCGCCCATCTCCACCAATACCTCTCCTCAAACGCCGCTGAAACCCTGGTCCACGCCTTTGTCACCTCTCGGTGGACTATTCAAATGCCCTCCTTGCCAATCTCCCATCCACTACCATCCATAAAGTCAAGGTCATCCAGAATTCTGCCACTCGCATTCTTACACGCACCAAACTCCGGCCCCCAATTACCCCAGTCCTTGCCAGACTGCACTGGCTGCCTGTCCCAGAGAGGATTGATTTCAAGATCCTCACTCTTGTCTTCAAATCCCTCCACTCCTCTGCAACCCCTACCTCTCTGACCTCCTCTCTCCTCACAACAGTACCCGTTGCCTTCACTCCACCAGGTCTGGGCTCCTCATCCCCTGAATCCTCCGCTCCACCATCGGCGGCCATGCCTTCAGCCACTACACCCTGAGGCTCTGGAACTCCCTTCCTCACTCCCTTCACCTCGTCCCCTCTCTTCCTATTTTCAGGTCTCGGCTAAAGACCTTTCTTTTTGACCACGCCTTTGGTCACCTTCCTCCGCCTCCCCTTGGCTCGGCCCCGGGATCCATTATTGTGAAGTGCTCTGAGACGCCGTCCGGCGTGGAGGGGCTATATAAATCCAAGTTGTTTGTTTTGTTGTACCGCTGTGCGAATTGGCTCCCAAGTTTGGCCCACAAATATACAGTCAATTCTCTTTATAGTATATTCTGTGAAGTGCTTTGAGACATGTCGAAGATGTAATCAGGCACTATACGAAATGCAAAGATTATTATTGTATCAAATGCACACATAATCATTTAACCTGAACATGCTTGAGGCTGATTTGGGGAATTTTTTTCATTACGGAGCATTGTTATCTCTGAACTGAACCACCAGACTGTTGCCTTTACGTGTACTTTTGTTTAAATAGAAAGAGCTGATGACATCAGAGGAACTTACTTAGAGGATATAATGAGTTTAGCAGTGTCAGAACTGAATTAATCTGCAAATTGTAAATAGTAAAATCAATGAATTTTCCAGAGTGAATTACTGTAAAACTAGCTATCAATCTAAGTTCCTCAAGTATTTGGTAGCAATCTCACCTCTGAATCAGAGGGCTGTGGCTGTTCAAGCACTATATCGGGACTTGGAATCACATAGTCTAAGATGACACTCCGATGCAGTATTTTGTATTGAAAGAGGTGCTGTTCTTCACATGAAAGTTTGACCTGAGGTCCCGTCTGCCTCTTCAGGTGGACCTTAAAGATCCCAAGGCACTATTTGAAAAGAGAAGGGAGTTTCTCCCGGCTTCCTGGCTAAGAAATCCCCCAAATAAAATGAGTTACTCACTCCATGGCTGTTTATGGGACACTGCGGTGCTCAAACTATCTGCTGTGTTTTGCCCGCAAACACATAGCTAAAACCGACATATCCTGTGAAGCCTTTGTGACATTTTGGTGAAATGATAAGGTGCTAGATCAAATGGAAGGATTATTATTATTTTTATTATTACCATCAAGTGTCATATTCAATATGTCAACCAAGGCATTCTCTGCAACACTTCACCTCTCACAAATATTTTTCTAAAGAATCGAGTACAAAATGCTAACGAGATGTCAAAATTAATCATAATATCTGAGGGGACACCCTGGCTGGTATGTGGATGCTCAGGAATTTCTGAAACTTTGCACCTTCAACTGGAGTTAACGTTTGATACACTATAGTGTGTATCCTGCCTGTGATCTGCAGGATGGTGGTAATGTACGTTGTGTTGCTCACCAATCTGCTCCAGTTATCCATCCAGTAGAAGCTCAAACCCATGGATTTATGTGGTAAACTGCACTGTTTTAGCTGGTTCAAATCCAGCAGAATGCACACTTTAATGCATCTATATCTTGGATTCTGGCAATAGACATCTGTATTCTCTAAATGTAGGCAAATTGGTGAATTTTCAATTCCCTCTTCCCCACCCCATTCTGCAGAGAAAGATTCCTCACTTCAGAACCAGCAAATAGAAAATGTGTTTCTGTGAACCAAGATAGTGGATATGTGGAACAAAATCCTCAAAAAACCAATAGCTGCTGGTTAAGTTGTTCAAAAGAAATTTCATAAGTAGCTCATCAATTATATGTTTAAATGTAGACGGTGAAAAGCAAGCCTCTGCGGGAAATTATTGCTTTTGTATTGCTGGGCTAGAGGAAAGGGGGCTGTTGTTTGTGCAAAGTATTGAATAGCCCTCCAGTCTCAATATTGATTTCAATGATTTCAGACTATAACACCTCAACTTCAACCTCTGTCCTCTACCCCATTTTCTCCTTTGTCTTCCTTGCTCTGCCTCCCCACTCTCTGTTAACCCTTAAAACCACTCCTCCCCAACATGCTCCAGTTCTGATGAAGGGTTATGGACCCGGCACGTTGACTCACTCTCCTTTCTCATAATTTAGATAATTATTTGGGGAGGACAAGTTTGCAGGGCTATGGGGAGAGAGTAGGAGAATGGAATTGATTTGGATAGCTCTTTTCAAAGAGTCAGCACAGACACGATGGGCCGAATGGTCTTATTCTGTACTGTATAATTCTATGATTCTCCACAGATGCTGCCTGACCTGCTGATTGTTCTTAGCGACCAGTTTTTGATTTGAATAATGGTGTTTGGGGAATGGATAATCTTGAATTCACAAAGATTTACAAAAAATGAACAGGGTAGAATCGGGCTACTTGGCCTAACCAGTCTATATCAGTGTTTATCTTCCAAGGAGGCATCACCCATTCCTTATTCCTTCCGATACTCTTCTATCCCTGTCTCCCTCACATGAATGCCTCTACACTGTCTGATTCACTGTGCGATTCAACCAACAAGTTCTACAATCTCACTATCCTTTGATGAAATAGTTACTCCTACACCAACAAATTACATTGGGGGTAGTAATCTCAATTTTTTAAAAATTGGTCACTCAATCCACGACTGTTTGTGGGACACTGCTGTGAAGAATTGGCTGCTGCATTTAACTCACAAAATATACAGTCAACTCACTTTATAGTATATTCTCTGAAGCACTTTGAAACGTCTCAATGACGTGAAAAGGTGCTATATCAAATGCAAGGAATATCATTATTGTTATTGTTAGAAACTTTAAGTGTTGCAATGGAACACATGATAAGCATGGTCTACTCACAAAGTGAAGTTTCATGGGCTAGATGCTTTTTCTCATTCCATTCTTTCTTATGTTGCTCTGTACCTCACCGATATGATTTTTTTCAATTCCTGTGCTAGCCATCCTTGTGATTTCTCTGTGTAATAATGATAAATTAGTATCAAACAATGCAGAATTAAAGGAAGTTTTGCCTTCTGTACTTTTGCCCTTAGTGTATTAATGTTATTCTACTCACATGTTTGACCTTGGTTCTTCCATCCACGGAATCTGCTTCTTCGACTGTTAAGAGTGAAAAATGAAAATCGAGGGGTGAACGTTTATATTGCATATTACTCAAATTGATTTTAACTACTAAATTTACATAACTCAAAAATCAGTGTTGCATAGGAAATCCAATTATTGACATGGTAACCAACTGCTAAATTAGGAGGTTGCCAAGTTATTGATGTTTTGTAAATTTCTTAGCACTCTTCATACAGATCATCCTTATGAATCAGAGGATGGAAGATTGAATCCCTGTTCACATTGTTTGAAACCTTGGAATGAAAATTGCATTGTCGCACATAATTATCACAGCGAATGCATTATGAAATGCCACAAAAGTTACCACCTTAGTTAGTGTTGAAAAGTGTAAAAAATGTCCCTAAAATTAGTTTTATTTTGCTTCCACCTGATGAGTGTAAGTATCACTCCACTACACATGTTTACTAAGGTCTCTGAAATATCAGATTTCTATCCTTTTTGATAGTGTCAAGTTGATTTAAAATACTTTTTTTCAGCAATAACAATGGTGAAACAGTTTGGGATGCTGAATATGTTCAACTATGATAATTAAAAGTTTTCTCTAAGGACAAACTCTTTCAGCCTTTAATTAATGATGCATTGACCTTAAAACATGTGTTATTGGATTTTAAAAATAAATTCTGCTTTCTCAATTGTGCTTGCAGATTCAAGAGATCATAAAATTCAATATTCCCTTTACATTTTCAAGTTAAATGGAACTTAACCCCACTGGTGAAACTCATATTAATCTATGTAATTATTATGAATGGGTGGCGTTTTTTTGTATTTTTATATACCTCTAGTCAAAGCACTCCATTTACTTGTTTAGATCACTTGCCATGCTATATTTTTGCTTGCAGGGTTGTATGAATAAATAATGTCAACATCAGGGATTGTTATCTGAAGTTTCAGCTTCAACCCTGAATGATCGAAAGTTCAACTCTGATTTCAACTCAAGTCTTTTAAATTGGGTTGTCTCTTCAAATTTCAAATCCATATAATTAGAAACTCTGGAGGCAATTCTCTGATTGCTGGTTACTTTCCTAACCTTGGAGGTGTGAGCCCATAATAGCATTTCCCTATTATAAGATCACAATGCCAAGGTTAATAAATGTATCAACAGTAGCACCAGAACAGAGAAATTATAGCATGAAAGGAGACATTTCAGCCCATCAACCCAATGTTGGTGCTGGCACCCCCACTATACTTTAATGATTTGTTCTTTTCCCATACCCTACTGATTCATTTATAGAATCAGTGAAGAATAAAATAGGTTTTACTGAAAGTATTTTTTACCCACCCCCTTCAACAATTAACGATTTCATCTCAGATTAAAATGCTGGATGTTGGTTATTTGCATTCACAGTTCATATGCAAATTCTGAAACTGTAAAGTATTTTTTGACTGAGTGAGATGTGATGCAACACAGGACATGAGAGCCTGGGAGAGTGTGATTTGTGAGCATGCAGGTTATCATGTGGGAGAGGCATGTAAGGGACCATTCTTCTTGCAGTAGTTGAGTGAGAGGTTGTGTGTGTGTTGGGGTGGTGTTGGAAGTTGGGGGTCTGTCTGCTCTAAGTGTTCAAAAAACTCTAACTGCACACAAAGATGTCAATAATTCAGCTCAATACAGAATTGCTTGGACTTACAAACCATTCTTTGACCAGGAGCCTACTATGACAGAACCCTCATAATTACTTTATATACCTTATTCTTCAAAAAATTACAGAAAAATAAATAATAATCCTTGCATTTGTTAAAGCGCTTCATTACGTCTTCGAGACATCTTAAAGTGCTTCACAGCATATACTGTAAAATGAATTGACTGTATATTTTGTGGTTAAAAAAATTATGGCTCTCTGAGTTAGCATATAATTGTTTGATCAATGGGATCTGTGATTATTAATAATAATCTTTGCATTTGGTTTTGTGCCCATCACATCAGGAGGACATCCCAAAACATTTCACAGAATTTACTATGAAGTGTAGTGACTGTTTATTTGTTGGCAAATGCGGCCGCCCAATTGCGCAGAGCAATGTCCCGGAAACAACCAGTGACCATTTTTACTTGGGGGCATCATTGACAAGGATACCCTCACAGAACTCCTTTCTCTTTTCAAAAAGAACCATTTTTAGTGTCCATCTGAGCTGGCAGACAGCTTAATCTCTCATTCAAAGGATAAGAACATAAGAACATTAGAATTAGGAGCAGGAGTAGGCCATTCGGCCCCTCGAGCCTGCCCCGCCATTCGATAAGATCATGGCTGATCTTCAGACCTAACTCTAATTACCTGCCCTATCCCCACATCCCCTAATGCCTCTATTTTTAAAAAATCTATCAGTCTCAGCCTTGAAGGCACCTGAGACAATACAAGACACTCCTAACACATAAGTGTCAGCTTAGACTATGTGAGTTCAAGTGCTGATGTGAAGCTTGAACCCGTAACTTTATGACCCAGAGTGCTACTGCTGAACCAAGTGTTTGAACGACTGAGACAGGTTTCCTCTTTGACCCGGTTGGATAGTCTCTGTCCAGTAACAAGTGGGATTAAGCCAAGAACAAATTCTGATCTTTATTTGACAAGAAAAAGAGAGAAAGAACTGGTGGGACTTGTGGCTCTTTAATATTGTTAAACATTAACTGGTAAGTGGGCTCGGATTTAATGGCACATATTAAGCATGTGCTTAGCTTCTCTTTGGTTCTACTGAATGATGCAGTGAGAATGATGCAGAGCAATCAGTATAGCTCCAGGCTGTTAGTTCACATTAGCGACTGTAGGCACCATTTCAAACTAGTGCCTGTAATATAGCGACAATACAAAAAAAAGGAAAGAAATCCTATTGTTTTAAAGGTAATCCACACAGGGAAACACATAACCTCTGACACATTAAGAAATGCTACACTCAAATCAAAAAGGCTGCAGTAGAAAACTTGATCGTGTCAATTTAATAACTTCCATCTTTTCCATCTTTGCCCTGACTGAAAAGTCATGTCACCTTCTTAAAATAAAATTTACAAAAGTTTAAATTATTAATAACAAAATTATCCCTGAATTTGAGTATGTAGTTCCTTACCACATTGTTAAAATGTCTCAAAGCGTTTCATAGGATATTATGAAGTGAGTATGTATTTTGTAAGCAAATTAAACTGACAATTTGTACACAGCAATGTCCCACAAACAGTTGTAAAGTGCACCATCATTTTTTGTCTGGGGTATTATTGTTGGTCAGAACATTGGGCGAAACTCCTTTCTCTTTACGAATAGTGCCATGGGATATTTAATGCCCACCAGAACAGGCGCAGATGATGCCTCCAGCAATTCAGGTGCTATCTATGGCACTGCACTGGAGCATCAATCTAGACAGTAAATTCAAAATTGTTTCTGAAGATTCCTTGAGTGAGAAAAGGCATTTATCATTCTGTTCAGCTGCTTGCCCCAAAAGCTAAAATAAAGAAAATTTGTAGCAATTTATTCAAAAAGGGTATGTGTGAACCAGAACAGAACTAACATGTATAACCGTATCCATGCTGCATTACCAGTATTACTGTTGTTAAAAATAGCCAACGATCCAGAAAGCTGATATCTGATGACATTCAGTTATGTCTGTCAAGTAAATCTGAAACTGCATGGTCAGTGCTCAAGGTAGCAATTTAAAACCTATGCAAGGCTAATAAGGTAAGGGGATATTTTTGGATAATCAAGGTCGGTTGTTGAACTCTCGATTGTTAAATAAATAATAAATCAAATCATTAAAACAGTCTTGCTTGAAAATCAATAGGAGCAATTCAATAATACGGTACTTGAATTTTCTACAGCACCTTTTCACATTGAAATAATAATAACGAAATGGGTTAAAAGGCTTCACACACTGAATTGCTTGAAGAGTACAGCAATAATAACTTGAATGCATACAGCATCAATCGCATAAAGCAGGATGGTACAACCTTTTGGCTACCGAGGGCTGGATGCCCTATTTGAGAAAGGTTCGTGGGCTGCGTTTGCAATATTTTTGTGTTTCCCTTCTAGAAGCACAAGCAACATTTACATAGCGCCTTTTTCACATTAGAAGGTCATCTCAAAGTACTCAACACTGAGAGTGAGGCACTTGAGCTTGGGGTGGGAGCCCACTTGCTTGTCAGGGTGCCCTTCCCTCAGCTCAGAAGGGGCTTGCTAACAGACTGCAACAACGGCTGGCATTATCTCCACTCTCCGTGCTGCATCCTCCCGGCTCCCTGCGCTGCTGTGAAAGGACAGTTCGTCGGGGGGGGGAGAAAAGGAAGTTGGAAATGGTCTCACGCCAGATAAAATCATCCGTCAGGCCTGGTGCGGCCCGTGGGCCGCCTGTTGGACCACCCTGACATAAAGCAACATCCGAAGAGGAAGGGCATAGGTCAAGAAATGGAGTTTGAATGTGTATGGGTAAAGTGGTTAAAAAGACAGTTTAGGAGAACCTTGAAAGCCGAGAGAGCCAGACTGTAGTGATTACTCTTACATAGACAAAAAATATGCTTAATCTGCACAAGGAATAGCTCACAAATAGCAGTGAATAATTATGTTTAAACCTTGCCAGCTCTGGTGAACCTTAGACTCAGCTTGGCTTGAGCAATTTGTAGCATTCTTGTTTCTGGGTATTTTACGTGTTTTCAAAGTCCACATTAGATCTTGAGCTCACAGACGAGGTTAACACTGCAATAATAATGATGCTTGCATTTGTCAACGTGCTTCACAGGGAATTGCTATGAAATATAGTGACTGCTATATTGGTGAATTCCAAAGAAAGAACAAAATTCAATCTTTGTACAATTTTCTTACATGTTAAACAGAAAAAAGTTAGCCACTTTGAAAAAAATTGCACTTTGCTTTTTCCTTATAATAAAGCAGTTCATATCTGACTGAAATCTGAGAAAAAGGCACACTATAATCTGGGACTTTCCTCAGACTTCATGTAGCATCCACAGCCAACAGTTTGGGAGGGTAATGACAGCTTATTGAAGTGCCATTAAATCGAGCACTGTTCTTGTTTTCATACACAGGGGTCTACTTGGTTCCAATTACATCGGAATCAGTAAGCAGGGAGAAATTTAAAGGGAGAAATAGGTAGGAATCACCTAAACAGGATGAACGCCTTGCAATCACTGACTGACTGTGAACAAACCACAGCCTGATTCTTTTAAACAGATGCTAATGACTCCAATAAACATCTGGGAAAGTATACAATAAACATGTTGTTGTTGGTTTGGATTTTTTTTAAACCAAGGTCATTCAAAAAAGCATTCATTCCCTTAAGAGATCTGACCTGCATTCATTTATATGTAATTCTTCAATTTGTTTTACCTCCATAGTAATCTCCTTGTGCGCAAACCCTTGAATCCACGTGAGTGGATGGATGTCAATGCTGTTATACTAGCAGCTGAAAATGCAAAGCTGAAGTACATCTTGAAGCATCACTTGTGATATTTTCCTCCCCTGTGGTCAGCTTGGTGGACACCTCATTTCTGTTTAGTGGTGTGTTAGACAGCCTTGGTAAGAGCAGCAACTCGCTACCTATAAGAATAATAATCCTTGCATTTGATATAGTGCCTTATCACATCTTCGAGACGTCTCAAATTGCTTCACTGTAAAGTGAATTGATTGTATATTTTGTGGCCGAAATTAAAACACCGAATGTGAATGCTATCCTGAAATTGAATTCCAGGTACTTCATTCAGGTTATGCTCCAATGCCCCTACATATTATGTTTTGGGGTGACTGTGGCTTGATATTCTGTGCTCTGTATAGGAAAAGTGCAGTTGGTTGTTAGTAATTTGAGGAGTGAATTGACAGGTTAAGTAAATTCACATGACAAATTTCTGTGGGCAGTTGATTGGAGTCCTGTAGATTAGTGGTGAAAGCACTTGCCTTGCAAGTGAGAGGACCTGGGTTACATTCCCGGGCAGGGCAAAACCTTCAGTAAGTTACCTTACTCCAATATATCTACATCAATATGCTATGCTGTGTGTTTTCTCTTTCTACCTCTCAAATGTTGACTACTCATTTGTGTGCCCATTTGTCTGATCGACTCAATGCATTCTAATTACTGTATCTACTGCATAATGGAATTTCAACCCCTATATGTATGAAAAATGTGATATGTGATGTGTTAAACAGTACTCTGTATAATTATCACCAGTGGTAATTACCTCATCCCCCCAAAAAAAGTACTGGTCAAACCAGGTCAATAATTATGAAATGCTCCACATCCCCCACCCATCATTAGTGAGCAAGCTTTAGGCATGTTGCCCTGTTCTCTGGACCACTACGTAGTAGTATCTTTGCCTTGCCCCAGCCTTAAACCTTGAACGCAATCATCACTTTTCACAGTGGTTTTGGCTGAAACCAGTCAGGTGCCGTTGGTCACCATTGTGGTTCATGGCAGAGGATTATAACATTTGAGTGTCACTTTAATGGGATATTTGTCTAACTCAGCTTGAGTTAAGCCATTTGATGAATCAGAATGCTGCTGCTATCTAATGTATACATTTCAGGAGAGCCATATTATTGTACTTGTATTATTTCTTCCTAATATTTTGCCTGCGGCTTCCTGTTGTTGCTAGGAGGTTACACCTGAGAAATCCAGTGCTTTCAACTGCTCATATTCATGCCCCAAATATTGCACTTTATCCAGCAACAGAGTGAACAGTTGACAAGCAACAACTGCCTGGTTGATGGTGAGTTCAAAGAACAGCCAAAGGTGGAATTCAAACTTACAATCCCTTGGTTTAAACAAAATGCAAAATACTGCAGATGCTGGAAATCTGAAACAAAAACAGAAGTCGCTGGGAACTCTCAGCAGGTCAGGTAGCATCTATGGAGAAAGGAAAGTGAGTCAAGGTTTCAGGTCCACAACCCTTCATTAGTTCTGCTGATTTCCCAGCAACTTCTGTTTTTGTTTCACAATCCCTTGGGGTGAGGAGGCCTTTCCCTTGTAGCTGCTTTACCTTGAAACCCTCTCAAAAATATCTCTTTGATGGTGCGTTTGATCAACATCCTCAAATTTCTCTTCTTTCTTCCCTGCTCAGTAAAGCCAGTCACCTTCGGGAAACATTTCAAGGCTATCATTCCACGCAAAAAGCGACATGCAAGTGCAAGTTGTTCTAAACTCTTACTGTCAAAGCTACTGAACATGGGCATTGGGATCATTAAAGTTATGTTATCTATAAAATAAAAAGATAGGTATTTTGGAGGGCATTTGCAATCTACTTTTTTGTTTAAAAAAAAGGAGAAAGTTGAGGTGAAAAGTTTGGTGCAAAAGCCTGGGTAAAACATTTTGCATTGATTTATGTTCCTGGTCACCCTAAAGGTACTCAGTAAACATGACAAAGATTTTCACAGTTTAACTCCAAGCATCTCCTTCACTCTCACATCATTGGCAACAGATGTGTGATTCTGGTGCTAAATATCATACTTGGGCACCAGCAGTAATAATAATCATACAATAATAATTCTTGCATTTGTTATAACAATAAATAATCCTTGAATTTGATATAGCGCATTATCATGTGATTGAGACGTCTCAAAGCGCTTCACAGAATATATTGCAAAGTGCACTGACTGTGTATTTTGCGGATAATGTAGCTTTAATCTTCCTAGCTTTAATCCGTTTCTAACCCATATTGTAGCTGACCTGGGACAGGTTTTATGGGATAGGGTAGAGGGAGCTTTATGCTGGGTCTAACCTATACTGTAACTAACCTGGGCATTAAATGGAGAATGAGCCTCGAGTTCTGTGTTCTGATTTCTAGTCACTGCCCTACTCCCCGGTCTCTCCACTGAGCTTCTGTCAATTACAGTCGAAAGTGTAGCTGGTCAATTGCAAATTCGTTGGTGTCTAGAAACTCATCAATCATTCCACGTATCCCTTCAGCCAATAAACTCATATTGTTATAGAAGTGTATCTTGTCATTGAGATGTCTCAAAGAGCTTCACAGAATATACTGTAAAGTGAATTGACTGTATATTTTGTGGGTGAAATGCGGCAGCAAATTGCGCACAGCAGTGTCCCACAAACAGTCGTGAGTTATTAATAAGGGATTATTACCCTGAGAAAGTGATCCGCCAATCGACTAACACCCGGGAAACAGAGGCATCTGGAATAAGGAAACTTGTCTAAGGTTTCGCCCAGTCCAGGAAACAAACTTGCATTCTCTCGCTTGCGAGGTGGGTGCTCTAACTAATACGTCCTGAAGTGTGTTATGTACCTACAGTGCTGTTCAGAGGCTGCCTGTACACTACTACTATCACAGGGTTCATCTGTGAATGATCAATCGCTGCGTCAATCAGCTGTATTGATTCTGCATTCCAGAAGCCAAAGTAACCGAATAAACAGCTTCATAAAATGACATGGAGTGCGCAGTACAGAAACAGACCATTCAACTCAACTCATCCATGCTGGTGTTTGTACGCTACATGAGCATCCACTCCTCTTCATCCATCTATTTCCTTCTCCCTCATATTGTAAGCAATTCCAGAATTCTAAGTTGCTTGATTTGATAGCTGACTATGTACACTGATGCATGAAGGCCAAGGACAATGGAAAACGAGGGAAATGATATTTATGGAACAAAGCTTTCTTCAGCATAATTGTGGGCAGACAAAGATGTTTGAAACAAGTTGTTGGAATTTTGATAAAGGTGAAAAGATGTTGACAACTATGGATATAATAATAATTCCTGCATTTGATAGAATGCTTTTTCATGTCTTCTAGACGTCTCAAAGCGCTTCACAGAATAAACTGTAAAGTGAATTGACTGTATATTTGTGAGCGAAACACGGCTGCCAATTTCGCACAGCAATGTCCCACAAACAGTCGTGGATTCAAGTGACCAATTTGATAATTTTTTTATTGTTAAGTATTATTATCAGGGATGTGGAGTAAGGAAGCTTACCCAAAGTTTTGCCCTGCTGGGAATCAAAGCCAGTTCTCTCGCTTGTGAGGCGAGTGGTCTAACTACTGAGCTATAGGATATCAGAGAAGGGGTTATTCTGTCTGACTCAAAATATGTTTTTAATAAAGCTAAATTCCAGATATGTTTACAAGATTGATGTGTATGTCTTTGCAAGGTATTATTGTAAGGATAATTCTCAACAAAGGGGAAGAGCTGAGCTTAAAGAGAAGAGCTGAGTTTTGGGAACGGAGCAGCTATTCACAATGATCTCGAGGAAAGAGATAAACTACAATCAACATGGATCGATGCAACGTCGATTGCTCCATCAAAGCCACTATATTGAGCCGATTAACCCACTGCAGTGAACTTTACTAACCTGTTAGTTTGCTTACTAATCTGTCGTAAGAATTAATTTGATTACTAACCGTCGTAAGAATGAACTTGATTACTAACCCGTTGTATGAATTTATTTGATTTGATGAAATATATAATTTTGATTATTTATAACCTTGCTAATCTTTCATTAAATTTTACTACTTAAAAGGAAATTCCTGTCAGCTCATACTTCACCGCAGTGTCATGAATTTAAATACCCCTTAGACTATGCATTGAGTTTCCTCTAAAATAAATTGATGAATTGGATAATTGGCATTTTGGGGAAGAAAATGCCTCATTACTAAAATATCTGAGAGTTTATTGTGTAAAACCCTGATATTAAAGATCCCTAACTATCCTTCAAATTGAATTTTGTAAAATTCCTTAATTTTGTATGTAAAGGCCTGATCATCTCTCTAGTACCATGTATTCACTGGTGGTACTGCTGATGCCAATGCAAAAAACAAATTACTGTTTGGTTAATAAGCTGTAAATTTGTGAAGTTTATCTCAAATTGACAATAAAAGTATTCAGCAATAGAGTTTAACTTCAAAGCACCCCATTGCACACCGAGAAACACAAAGTCAAAAGAATCAGGCAGCTTTAACCAATCCTCGTACCTGAGAAGTCAGCAGCTCAAACAGCTGCCTCTGATTTATCAGTTGTACCTCCAAGGAACCAAAATGCAAGGATTGTAATAATCATCTGATGCAGCTGCAAGTACTTTATCAGAGAGCTTTGAGATTAAGGTGCATTCCGGGTACAAGGGAAGATAATGTCCTTGATTTCTCTCAGCGCGCTGCATTAGGAATATAATACTTGCTTTGGATGTAAAATTTATGAAGATTAAATCAACAGGAGAGAAATATCATTAACATCCTCTGCACTGGTAAACCATGATATAGCGTCTGCCAGCTACAGCATCCCTGAAGGATTAGTATAGAATGAAGATGCAAGACAATGAATTCTCCAGCAAGGATTTTTTGTGATTAGTGAAACAGAAACCTCTATGGCTGTGGTTATTCAATTTCAAGATCCTACATTAGTTTTTAAATCTCTTCATGCCCTGGCACCTCCATACCTCTCAGACCTGCTTACTCCCAGCCCACTGCCTCTGCTCGACTGGCCTCCGTTCTGCATGTGCCTCGTGCCCTCTGTTCCACCATTGGTGGCCGTGTTTTCAGACATTGTGCCCCGAAACTCTGGAACACTCTTCCTCTATCCCTCTGCCTTGCCCCTTCCTTCCCCATCTTCAGATCGCGCCTGAAGGCCTTCCTCTTCGTCCGTGCCTATGGTCAACTGCACGCTCTCCACTCCCCCGGCTCGGTGTCAGCCTCCACCACTGTCAAGGGCTCTGGGATGCTATGCTGCGTGAGGGCTGCTATATAAATACAAGTTGTTGCTGTATAGAGGAAGCTTGTATTGAACCAAAAAACAGCATAATTCAAAAGGGAACTAGATAAGCGCCTGCGTTATAAAACCATTAAAGGTTATTGGAAAATAATTAGAAACATGAATAGTTGGAAATAGGCTACTTAAAAGAAAATGGTAGTGCAATAATAGGCCATATAGCCTCCTCTGTGCTGAAATTTCTGTATTTATGTTTCTTCAGTTGAACAACTTCACATAGTTTGTGATGTGGTTTCCTTTCATTTGCAATCTGCTTCCTCTTTATCATTATTAGCAATGTATTCTCAATGACTACTGCACAAAAAAAGATTGTGGTCAGTTATGCCTCTGACAACAGTCCAAGTCAAGTTGCTTCTGAATTCCTGTTATTGTAAAATGTTCCATATACTAGAATGTTGAATGCACTATTATAAGTCTGTATCATCAAAGAGATCTCACCTTACTGGCACATAACAATTATCCCTGTTAGATTTCCCTTTTAAATGTCAGGCTGGTTCAGTTGGTAGGATTTTTGCATCTGGGTCAGAAAGTTGTGGGTTCAAGCTCCACATCAGGACTTTGAACACAGCATCTAGGCAGACACTCCAGTGCAGTGCTGGGGGTGCTGTTTATCGGATGAGATATTAAACAAAGTCTGTTCAGGTGGATTTTACTACAACAAATAACAACAACTTGCATTTATATAGTGCCGCTCATGCAGGTTAGCTTCCCAGAGTGCTTAACAGGAGCAGAGCACGATGCTGAGCTGGTGGGAGAGGGAAGGTGACCGCAGGTACGGTCAGATAGGAAGGTCTTCAGGCGCAACATGAAGATGGGGAAAGATCCTATGGCACTATTCAAAAAGTGAAGGGAGTTTCTCCCTGTATGCTGACCAATAGTCCTCCAAAGAATATTGGTCAGCACATAGATTAATTCACTTCATGGCTGTTCGTGGGACACTGCTGTGCGCTAACAAGGGTTTCTGTTACCTACTTGCTATGAATTGTGTCACTACTGTTTGGTTATGTTGTAATTTAATATTTCTAAAATGTCAAAACTTCTTGCTCTGACAGTGCATCACTGACATTCAGGAGCACAAGTTGTTGTGAGGCAATTACTCTACCTCATCCCAACAAACACACTCCTGAACATCACTATTAGAGCATTCCTTGCCCATCAGCTGTTGTTAACCTTGTTGAGAAGTGTGAATGGACATTGATTACTGCAGTGTTCCTACTGAAAGAAACACATTCATTGCAGAAATAAATTTCTATTGACACATCCCCAAAAAAGTGCATTTTACACAGATGTTATTGATTTGCTAATTTGCTTTCACCACTGACATATTTAAAAAAGCAAGGATTATTATTATACTTCTAGGTAGAAATTTCTCTTTCTTCTGCTTGTCCAGTTGGGACCACCCTACCCATTAAGGACAAGATTAACAGGAGCCGAGTGGGAGAAATCCTGGCCCCAGACAGACCTGCTCCTCCTAGTGTTGTTGATGACTAGGCCAGCTGATCTGTCATTAACAGTGCTTTGGAGTACTGCAAACCCACCTGGCTCGGGGGCCAGACTCCTAACATTGCTGGAGAGAATTGACTCGATTCTGATATTCTAGTGGGGTTGACTTCACCTTGGAAACAGCTCAACCCCAAAGAGTCATCACTTACCTCAAGCACAATAGACAAATTGGACAAAAGCCAATTTCTTTTAATAAATGGTGATGCATTATGCCTATGCAAGATAAATTGATTGATAACGAGACATCACGCAGTGAAATTTTACTAATTTGTAAAGGTTACCACCATCAGCGGCCGTGCTTTCAGTCGTTGCCTACCTGAAGCTCTGGAATTCTCTTCCTCAATCCTTCCGCCTTGCTCTCTCCCTCCCCACTTTCAAGTCCCGCCTAAAGACTTTCCTTTTTGACCGTGATTACGGTCACCTCCACACTCCCTCTTCCCCTGACTCAGGGTCAGACTCTACCATTGTCAAGTGGTCTGGAACCCTACCCTACATGAAGGCCACTGTATAAATGCAAGTTGTTGTTGTTACTCACTGTGTGCACTTAGAATGGGATTTCCATATTCCAAATGCATGCTGGTACAATAGATAACTTTAGCAGCATAATTTCATCCCCCACCTTCCCCACTGTCGGCTTCAAGCTCACTCAAGTAATTCAGGTATGCAATAGATCATGTTCAGAATCATCAAGCTTCCTTATTCTGCCCAAATAATCTTACCCTATGATAAGAATATTCCTCGCATTTGTAATTTTGCCTCATCACATTGTCAAGATGTCTCAAAGCGCTTCACAGGATTTTACTGAAATGTGTAGTGACTGTGAATTTGTAGGCAAAGGAACATTCCTCACTGCACGTGGGGGATCATTTTATAGATTCACTAATATGTTTGTGTAGCATGTATGAATCAGATAACCAATGCAATAAAAATGGTCAGTTTTATACAGTAGAGTCAAACCTACTGGGAACTTTGTTAACCTTGATCAGTCTAATTTTATTTAGTACCCTTATAGCTGGCAGAGAAAGAAGACCTCATTCTGTCAATCCAGGAAAGCGTCAGAGAATGTTACAGCACAGAAACAGACCACTTGGCCCATGAATGCTGCACTGCTGTTTCCTCTTCACATGAACCATCTAATTTAAATTCCGGCAGGGCAAAATGTTGGGCAAGCAGTAAGCAGTGACCCAGTTGTTAGTCGACTGGCGGATTGCTTTTCCAGGGGTAATAATTCCTTCCAAAAAAAAAAAATTGCCACTCAATCCACGACTGTTTGTGGGACACTGCTCTGCGCAATTGGTTGCCGTGTTTCAGCCATAAAATACAGTCAATTCACTTTACAGTATATTCTGTGAAGTGCTTTGAGACTCTCAAAAATGTGATGGGGTGCTATATGAAATGCAAGGATTATTATTATTCATAAATCCATTTGCCTATTCACACCTGAACCCCTTTAATATTTATTTTTTCAATCATCCAAACATCAGAATGGATTGGTTGAGTCAAGTGACCTGTTTCCATGTTCACATTTTTCTGTGTAAATTCACTTCTAAACTAAATTTATGCGTTCTGGCTCATAAATGGTTCTGACAGATCCCACGCAAATGTTAAAATAACAAAGGAAAAATAACCTTTTTCACAAGATCACTTTGGACAAAGAAGGCCCGTCAAAGAAACAGGGGTAGGCCATTCAGCCCTTCGAACCTGTTTTGCCATTCTATAAGATTATGACTGATCTGTACCTCAACTCCAATTTGGCTCATCTGATCTCAAACTTCCAGAACAACTACTGCACTATACCTCCATCAATTGCCCTTTACAACTCTAAACCTATATCCTCTTGTTCTACTGTCTTGATGCATCTTAATGTATTCATGTGATTTTACTTCTGTATCCCCATTTGAAATTGTGCTTACCTCTATGAGGTCCTCTCTGAGTCACCTCCTCCTAAGATTGAAGAGGCCTAGTTTGTCTAATCATTGCTCATAGTTTAGCTCAAAGTTCACAAGGGCAAGAACCATCCACAAGATGGAGGGAATAGCCACAGAGCAGGGGTCATGTTATTTTGCTGTGTAGGATTTAGGAATGAGGGTAGTTTCCACCTGGGTCAGGATTTACTTTAGTCATTCAGCATTTCAGAACATCTACAATTTGGCAAGTTGAAATTTCCGTTTTAACTTTGAAGTTATTTACCTGCTGTTCTTGAAACAATTCGAGAAAAATAGCTTCCAAATTAAAATGGCATTTAAGAGTTTTGTCTAAGATAAAGGTACATCTAGACCCAGGTGCAAATTGAGTTGGGTCACTGGAGATTCTGAATTCAAGTGGAATTTGGGGAGTTTGTAAAAGGATGATGGAATCAAAAAAGCAGCATGTCCTTTTGAAATGGGAAATCCAACATAGGATAATTTTGCATACTTTCGTCCCAGACTTTTGACTGTTCATCACTCACTCTCAGTGGAGTGATATATGCCTTAGAATAAAAGCTTCACCTGGAAAGGTGAGAAGCTGCTAGGTGATTTTGATTCAGTACTGCAAATTATATTGTCAAGGATTTTAGCAATGTCACACCTAAATATCAGCCATCGAGTAAATTTTGCTCTACCGTATTAGAATGGACGTGTTGCATTTTAAAGGTTAACCCACTTAAACACAAAAATGCTAAGAGCAATGTATTTCTATTTCAGGATTAGTTGGAAACATTTGACAGGTGAGCAATTATAGATAACAGCCTTTTTTGTCTGGAACAATATCCTTGCTCTTCACAAAAAAAATCTTTATCCCATTTTGTAAATGCACTGCATGACATGTCACGGAGACCAAATGGATTGGGGAGATTCACGATGTGATTCCGTTTGCTGATGATTTGGCAGGAGCGTGCTAAAATATTCCTTGCAGAATCATTTTAACTTTCCTGTTTTTCAAGTCGTCTGTACTGTTCCAACGCTTGATTATTGGCTGATACTGGGCGAGGATCAGCTTAGCATCGTTTGATTATCACACTGTGGTTCTCTAAGCACACTGAGCTCCTACCCCTGGTGGAGGGTGCTACATAAGTGCAAGTTGTTGTTGTTGAATCATTTGACAACAATCACCAGCTAGACTCACTCACAAAGAAAAGCCACTTTAATGAAACACCATTGGATCAGGATTAGAAAACACCAAGGGCAATCTTCCAGTTAATACTTTGCCCAATCCTGCTAGGCAAGGACATCTTATTCTTTATTTGTCAGTAAATTTAGTGGCCTTGGTCGCGACGACGTGATTATGTGCTGTAGCAAATCCAATTATTATTAATAGCCATCTAGAATTGAAGGTTTGTGAATTAATACCTAACCTGCAATAATGGGGGACGATAATAAATAATAATAATAATCCTTGTATTTGATGTAGTGCCTTATCATGTCATTGAGGCATCTCAACGCACTTCACAGGCTATAATGGAAAGTGAATCGAATGTATATTTTGTAGGCGAAATGCCCTCAGACAAGTATTCTGAGGGTATCTTTTGTTGAGTCAAAATGAAAATGCAAGGTTCCAGCATTAAACACGTATGAGGGGATAATACTAATATTAGCATTTGTAAGCAATTGTGACTTTCGCATAAGATAAGTAATTAATTGCTGTATTTCTATAGCAAGCACTTATGGTGATATATTTCCTCATGAAACAAATGATCCCAGTCATCCATGCCTTTCTCCACATATTTACAATCGTAACATACATCAAAGCAGCTGGAATGTTGCTGCCTACTGATATTGGAATCAAAGTATAAAGCGGTCACCTTAATAGTCAATAAGGGTGGAATTTGCCTTCCCCTTATAACAAAACAAATCTCATTCCCACTGCACTTGGGGCATCAATCCCAGACTCTGGTTGCCAGCATACACTGGGGGAAGTCTGAGATATTTAGTAGGAAATTTGATTTGATTGATAATAATTATCATATTGAATCTGTTATCAAGAAACACAAATTCCCTTCAATCTTTACAAATCAATAAAATAGATACAAGACAGCCAGGAGCAACTCAAGAAGGGAGCTCAAGGGGAACTCCTTGTTATATAGATGGTTGTCCGTTGTGTGTCTCTGCAAAGCAACTAACTGGGGAAGAAAAAAAGAGGTCTTGTGTCACATCACAGCTGTTCACTTTACTGGGTTCAGACCAGGTTCCCTGAATAGGCTTTTGTGGCTAATGTTAAGGAGGAGGAACTCAGCTAAGGTTCTTGCTCCTGGTGGCTCTGCTAGAGATGTTTGTTTGTAGTCGGACATTGTGCAAAGATAGGATTAATTTTATTAATGTCTTTCAGGTCTCAAACGCTAGTGACATTCATTGCCCAGGCAAACGCTCGTGACATTCATTGCCCAGGCAAACGCTCGTGACATTCATTGCGCAAGCACTCACATGAAGAACAGCAACTTGACCGATGTTCTGGAGTACTCTCACTATTCATAGAAGCCTAAACTAGTATGAGTCAGGTGATTAAGGCATAAATGTGAGTAGGAAGTAAAGACACGGCTGTGCACAATTGGCTGCCGTGATTCTTCCACAATATATACAGTCAATTCACTTGACAGTATATTTTGTGAATTACTTTGAGTTGTTTCAAAGATATGATAATAAATTAAATGCTATATGAAATACAAGTATTATTATTAAAAAACTCACATTCTTTTTTTTCAACAGCTGCCTTGCTGCCTAACATCTATATGCCAAGGCTGTAGAAAAAGAAACAGGTGAGGGTTACAAAGAACAATTTGTGAACAGAAAGCAGAAAGTATTTCTTTACCCAGAGGGTATTTAACAACTGAATAGCTTACCAAGAAGGATGGTTGAGGCCAGAATATTGGACACATTGGAGAAGCAGCTTGTTACTGTAATGGGAGGACAGAAGGGAGAATATTCTGGAAAGATAAAATGCAATAGGGCAAACACAATTCTTCCCACTCAACTCCTGTTAATCCCGCAACCCAAAGTCTTAACAGTTAGGGTGGTCCTAGCTGCAGTTTGGAAAACCTACTAGACAGCGCTCTCAAGCTAGGCAAGCTATGGGGTTTTAGCTGGTTAAACCCCAGCAGTGCCCCAACACAACCTATGGGATTCTACAAAACAAGGTTTTCAAATATGTCCAAAACTCCAACCAGCAGCAAATACCTGGCCATATTATTTGCTGACAATAGCCCCAAGTCTCCCTGTCTCTAAGTGTTATAGCAAATACAGCAAACTGGTTTGAACATTAAAATCAGAAGTCTTGACTCTAGCTCACCCACGCCTAATACTCTCTGGAATTAGGGAAGCGGGATGTATCATTCCAGGGAGAGAGTGCATCCCTCCAGGGAAATCTCCATGTGTAGGTGACATACCTGCAGATCTCTCAGTCTGGTTTGGATACTTTTAAGCATGGAGATGGATTTCTGCATACGTCAAGTACCCGAATGACCAAAACAAAGTGGGCCAAAGAATCTTCTTCACCTTGTGATCTTGTGATTTATTACAACAGGATTGCTAGGACTATATGGTCCAAGCAAATTCTACAATGTGCTTAGCATGGGCTGACAGAAGAAATGGTCCAAGTGACCACCTTAATGATAAAGCTTGCCCAGAAAAGACTAACCAATTCTGATGGAACATTATTATAATAAGATCCTCTGTAAGAGACTCTGGGTATTGATCTTCCCTGGTGTCTCAAGTTACAGCAGAATAAATTACTCACTTACACATTACATGAAGGACTGCACTGACCTTCAGAAAAATACTTTGGTTGTTTGGATTTCATTTTGTGACCTCATTTTTGAATCTTCATTCCCTAAGTATGGTATATATCCCTAATCATCCAATTGCAAAGTACCTATCTTATAATACACCCTGTTTGTAGTAATCAAGTTGTAAAAGCAATGTTGCTCTTCTGCCATCAACATGAAAGACACTTTCAGACAGGTCAATAATCTAATACTTCACTGGAGACTTAGATAGCTATGAAAATAACTGACCTACATACAGCAAACTGAAATAAATACTGCTGTGTGTAACTGGCTACCGTGTTTCTCCAACAAAATATACAGTGAATTCACTTTACAGTGTATCCTGTGAAGAGCTTTGAGACATCTCAATGATGTGATAATGCACTACATCAAATGCAAGGATTATTATTATTTTTTATTAACTAAGTCAGAACTTAACACTCGTCTTCACAAAAGCAAACACGACACCCATTGAATACTGCATGTTAATGACAAAATGTGTCACTGCACAAGTTTTAAAAAGAAGCTAACTGATGGCAATACAATCTTCTACTTCTCTTGCCAACTTGCCTCCATAACTGAAATCTCCAGGAATAGGTGGGCAGAGAGCATTGCTCCGGGAATTGAGTGTGCACACCACTGTGGAACTCACAGTAATTTGGTTTCAATAATTTTTCACATGGTAATGGGTTTCAGCATGGCATGGGTTTCAGACACCCAGCTGACCAACACAAAACAAAATTTTAATCGAAATGCACATCCCAAAATGTGGGAAATTTGCAAATATACCTGCACATTGGGTATCAATCAATCCACACTGCACGAGGATCAACATTGAACATCGACTATGTTCTTAAAGTTGGTGAGAATCGATTTTTATTTTGTCTGATTTCCTTCAGATATCAACAATTATTCTTTGTTAATTAATTTCGGAATAAATGGCCACTTTCCACATCTCATACTGCGTGCCACACACATACAGCCACACGTAGACACACACGCACACACACTGCCACACACACAGACACACACTGCCACACACACACACAAACAGCCACACACACAGCAACACACACTGCCTGCCTCTCACACACATACACGCACTGCCAGACACACGCACTGCCACATACACACTGCCACATCGCCACAGGGCCACATACACAGACACACACACAAACAGTCACACACACACACACAGCCACACACACGCACAGCCACACACACACACTCACCCACATTGCGACACACACAGTGCGACACACAAACTGCGACATGGCCAAGGCCCACACACACACACACACAGCCACACAGACACAAACAGCCACAGAGCCGCACAGAGCCACACACACGCAGCCATACAAAGAGCCACACACAGCCACACACAGAGCCACAAACACACACACACACACACACAGAGCCACACGTAGCCACAGCTGCACACACACATACACAGCCACACACACACACACACAATCACATGCACACACAGCCAAACACACAGCCAGACACACACAGCCCTACACATACACACAGAGCCACACACACGCAAAGCCACGCACACACAGCCTCACGCACACAGAGCCACACACACGCACACAGCCACACACACAGAGCCACTGCCACATACACACAAACACAGCCACACACACAGACAGCCACACACACACAGCCACACACACACAGCCTCACTCACACAGAGCACACACACACACACACAGAGCCACACACACGCACACAGCCACACACACAGAGCCACTGCCACATACACACGAACACAGCCACACACACAGACAGCCACACACAAACAGCCACATAGAGCCACTGCAACACACACACAAACACAGCCACACACACAGACAGCCACACACACACAGCCACATAGAGCCACTGCCACACACACACACACACAAAGCCACACACAAACACACACACAGAGCCACAGCCACACACACACACACACATGGCGACAGACAAAAAAAACACAGCTACAGCCACACACACACACACACACACACACACAGCCACACACACACAGAGAGAGCCACAGCCACACAAGCCACACACACCACAGCTACACACACACACACAGCCACAGCCACACACATACAGAAGCACTGCCACACACAGCCACCCACACACACAGCCACACATACACACACAGTCACACACACAGCCACACACACACACACACAGAGCCACACACACATTGAGCCACTGCCACACACACACACAAACAGAGCCACTGCCACACACACACATACACACACACATACAGCCACACACACACAGCCCCACACACACAGCCACACACAGCCACACAAACACAGAGCCACTGCCACATGCAAACAGCCACACACACAAACACAAAGCCACACAAACACACAGAGCCACAACCATACACAGAGCCACAGCCACACACACACACACACAGAGCCACACACACAGAGCCACACGTAGCCACAGCTGCACACACACATACACAGCCACACACACACACACACAATCACATGCACACACAGCCAAACACACAGCCAGACACACACAGCCCTACACATACACACAGAGCCACACACACGCAAAGCCACGCACACACAGCCTCACGCACACAGAGCCACACACACACACACACACACAGAGCCACACACACGCACACAGCCACACACACAGAGCCACTGCCACATACACACGAACACAGCCACACACACAGACAGCCACACACACACAGCCACATAGAGCCACTGCAACACACACACAAACACAGCCACACACACAGACAGCCACACACACACAGCCACATAGAGCCACTGCCACACACACACACACACAAAGCCACACACAAACACACACACAGAGCCACAGCCACACACACACACATGGCGACAGACAAAAAAAACACAGCTACAGCCACACACACACACACACACACACACACACAGCCACACACACACACAGAGAGCCACAGCCACACAAACCACAGCTACACACACACACACAGCCAGACACACACAGCCACACACACACAGAGAGAGCCACAGCCACACAAGCCACACACACCACAGCTACACACACACACACAGCCACAGCCACACACATACAGAAGCACTGCCACACACAGCCACCCACACACACAGCCACACATACACACACACAGTCACACACACACACACAGCCACACACACACACACACACAGAGCCACACACACACACACACAGAGCCACACACACATTGAGCCACTGCCACACACACACACAGAGCCACTGCCACACAGAGCCACTGCCACACACACACATACACACACACATACAGCCACACACACACAGCCCCACACATACAGCCACACATACACACAGCCACACACAGCCACTGTGGCACACACACACACACAGCCACACACACAGCCACACAAACACAGAGCCACTGCCACATGCAAACAGCCACACACACAAACACAAAGCCACACAAACAAACACACAGAGCCACAACCATACACAGAGCCACAGCCACACACACACACAAACAGCCACACAGACACAGACAGAGCCACAGCCACACACACACAGACAGCCACACATACACATAGCCACAGACACACAACACCCCCCCACACACACACACATGGCCACATACGTACACATCCACACACAGCCACACACACACACAGCACCACACACACACAGCACCACACACACGCAGCCACACACACACACAGCCACACACATGCACACAACCACACACATACATACACAGCCATATACACACACACACCCATACGCGCACACACACCCACACGCGCACACAGCCACATACACGCACAGCCACACACGCACAGCCGCTAATACCATTTGCTGCATACTGTGCAAGTGTGCTTTGCACAAGATGTGTATTGACACCTCTCATGCAAACCGCACAGGTAATGATGTATCAATGCAAAGGAAGTATCAATCAGTCCCGTGCAGGTTGCAGGAACTGACAT